GACAATTTCATTGGTTTCTTGTGAATTTTCATGCACGAAATGTATTTCAAAGCTTCCAGAAGACTTCAAGAGATTTCATCAGACTTTATGAGACTTTAGAGACCTCAAGAGACTTTATGAGGATTCATAAGACTTCAAGAGACTTCAGAAGACTTCGAAAGACTTTCAAGACTTCATGAGACTTCAGTCGTGAAGTCTCCGCTGTTTCTCCCTTGACATATATATTATTTTGCTTGTAACACCGATTAACATTCTAAAAAAAACCTTTATTATTGAAACATATTCAGAAACTTTCTAAATCAATATTCTTTCCTTAAAGAATCTTTGAGCGATGTGTATTATTCAAAGAAATAATTTAAGATTCCCGATTAGAAATAAGATTCGCTGTTGAGTACTTTTCATGTATTTGAATGATAGTAAATATTTTTCGGATCTGATTCTTTGAAGCTTTATGTAAAAAAAAATATAAATCATTTCTATTATGTGATGACAAGATAAACGTAGATCACATAAAAGATCCGCCGTATAGATAACATTTTATCTTCCATAATCAATACATGTTTTTTCTTAATAACTTTTGTCGTCTACTACTAAAGAATTTTCAATTGTTAGAAAATTATGATTTCCCAATGATAAATAATAAGTTCTAAACTGTATGGAATACAATTGATTATAGCGGATCAAATTAATTTCATTTTCAAAGTCAATAAAAGAAATATCTTTATGAAATTAACCAATGAGGAAAAATTCTTTTCCTGTTACGAACTTCAGTGAAAAATATACTACTTTCACAGCCTCAATATCAATAACAAAATATAATTAGAGTAGCATTATGAACAACATTCATCTCAAATATTCTTTAATTACTGCAACCAAAATTTTAAATCGAAAGAGACAGTAATTAATATTGGTTAGTTCATTATTATGCTTGCTCACATCATCTTAAGCGTATGGTATTTTTTTAAGTGAATATCGACACAGAATAACAGTATTCATAGATTGAAACAAATAGAACGATTACTATTGGCAGCTGCAAATTTGATTCTAGCTTTATCTATCGTACTAATCTAAGTATTGCTGTTCCATTGAAATATAAATGTTTCGCGAACGTTTTCCTTTGATAAACAAGAAAACATGTCTTAATGACTTACAATGGTTTTAATGAAGCATGTCGTATCAAATGATGAAATAATATAATAATAAAAGAATTTTAGTGATAATGAATCGTGAATGAAACTTATTTCTTTCAAAGTTAATTAAATATATCGGTGACAATTTCCAGTAATAAATTTGCCAAGAATTTTCTATAGTCTTTATTCATAATAGAACAGATGTTCGAAGACAATTAATAAAAAGCATTTGAAAAATGAATAAATTAACACATACCAAATTCTCAATAACGAATGAATTATTATTCTATGAAGAAATAGATTTATTTTAGAATCTGTCATACAAAAAATTACATCAAAAAACAATATTATATATTGTCATAAAATTAAATTCAAAAGGATTACACTCAATATTTAATAATATATTATTATTATCTATTTCGACACCAATCAAGATTATTAATAATATTGTTTCATACAATCTCCAAGCCATCAGTCATCAATAAATTCTATAAATGACTTTCAGAAAACAAAGATACATAATTCTTATACACGTATTAATAGATGTCAAACGATGTTTCTAGAACAGAAAACAAGCATATTGCGTCTTGATAAAAGTCTACTGATTGTTTGACTTCTTTTGTCCTATATAAAGAAAAAAACTAATTATCGGCCAAGTCTTATGTTTCTTTTTCTTTCTTCATCAATGTTCTGACTCCACTGAAATCGTTGGAGAAAACGCAAAGGAACTTTTTTTTTTTTATTAGAAAAGTATTTACTATTCGTTAAATTTTGTCCATAAAATGAAGAAAGACTCTTGCTTTCAAGTCAAACTCATTTAAAAGTTTGAGCATCTAACAACAGACTAGTATATTTACAAGTGAGAAATAAAATTCCACCTAGTTGTTGTCAGATGTTATATATGTAATGAAAAAAACATTATAAATACTTCTCAATCCATGATGTATTCAGAGGTATTTTATGTATTTCTCTTATAGTATTCGACTAAAGCCAAGGTCGAACGTTTAATAATAAAGAAAAAAAAGTTTCGCAGCTCCAATAGAAATCTTTCTCAAAAAAAAAACTAATTTTTCTATTGAATTTGTTTTAAAATCTTGATAAACTTCAATGTTTTCGTATAATGAAAGATCAATTTTCATTAGCAGGAATAGTCAACAATATATTGAATTAGTACATCTGAAAATTAAATACAATGTGACATTATACAAAGAGACATAAATATATTATTAACCTACGTTGCACGATCATTCACATTTTCATTTCTTATAATAGAAAAAATTTATAAATCTCTTGAGTAATTTATTTCACAAGAACTATTAATAAAAATTCATCACGTAACCAGTGTATTTCGAAATCTACATCAAAACAAGTCATACAACGATTATTCCATGAGTATAAGATTTAATTATAAACACGCATCACGAAAATGACTTATAATAATAAGAATTCAGCAATCCTTCTCCATGATATATTTTCAGAGCACAATCAATAATTAATGATTCATTATTCTTTTTATAAATAGTATGTTAAAACCAAAATAGAATGATAAAAAAAAATTATTTTCAATAAACAAGAAATGTACTGTCTAACTTTGCTTGTTTTCATCGAACCGATTAATGCACTAATAGAACATTCTACTTTTAAACAACGTAAAGTATTTTTTCTTCAATGGTTTATTTAATGTATTCCTGCTTGTCAAGCATTCATTTGAATCACTCTTATGACATAAGAAATAAACCAGGTTCTGGTAAAGTTTTAATCATATTAATTAAATTATCACACTACAACAATCGTATACCACTTTCTTTAGCTATTCAAGCTATTATCATTCGAATAATCATTCTTTGACTTATATCGATACTATAGAGACTATGTAAAAGAAACATGAATAGAGAACACGATTTCAGAAGAAAAAAACGATAATTTTACCTTGGGAAAAAAGTTCTAAAACAATCAAATGAAGCTGTACCTGTTCGCCGTACACGAAGAATACAAATACTAGTGGGAAATATATTAATCAAAATTCTTGCAGTTCATAGACAATATAATTAATCTCATTGACTTTTTTCATACTTTTCATAGTTAAATAAAAGAATAAGACAAATAAAATAAAAAATGTCTCAATCTTAAAGTTATCAAATCTTATTTGAATATAACAAACCGCAATAGTGAATCATTACAGAAAATTATACATCTTCACTACTGCTCTTTCACTCTATGTTTATTTCAATCAAATGTATTACAAATAGCGTTTGGCCAATACTGATACAAACAAAAGACAATGAAAAATATAGATCACAAAGAAGAAAAGCAAAAATTATTGCAAAGACATAAAATTTTAAAAAAAACATGTTGAGCTATGTATATATAAAAGAAACAAAAAAAAAAACAATCAATCAGAAATTTTTCGTTACACTCTAACTTTCTGTCACAATGAGATTAACCATAATCAGATATCAAAAACAAAAGATATATAAAGATACAAATTTAACATATAACTAGCATACATATATTTACATGTATAGATGTTCTTAATAAGGCAGAAAAAAAAAGGACGATAGTGCATTTTCTACTTACGATTATTGTGATGAAGAATTAAGTGCAGTACGTTTTCGATTCGGTATTTCTTGATTTGTAAAATTAGTAGTAGTAGCATTTTCAGCTTGATCGACTGCAAGTGATATTGAATGAATCGGAACAGTAGATGAATCGTGACTAGAGTAATTCGTAGTACCATTTATTGATTTAACATTAATCGCTTCTTCATATGATGGCGGAACGTCTACATGACACAACAAAAAAGTCAACAGAATTATTAATTACATTCCATTACTTGATTAAAATTTAAAAAGAAACAAATATTTACCTATTGGGCGCAAAATACTTTGTTCATAACTGGGTAAACTCATGTGGAATGGACTTGAATATCGATGGAAATCTCTAGAGAGAAAGTAAGATGTTAAAATCTAATTATTGCAAAAAGAAAAAATTATGACAATATACCTGCTAGTCATACTTGTAAAATTAACTGAACCAGAATTTTGAGCTTGAAATCTTGCTTGCTAGAATTAAATTTTAATAAATTTAAAAGAATTTCAATTAGTTTTTACTCTCATTCGTTGAGCATTGAGTTTTCGTAATGCTGTTAGGATTTTTTGAGCCGATATCCAATACATAAAAGCAAATATAATACCGATACCACTGGAAAAAAAAAGCAACAACAATAAAATTTAGAGTATTTTTAAGTTATTTCTATTTAAAATCAATACCCGAAAACAATAAATGAAACAGAAAATCGTTGTTTTTCATAAGAAGCAAGTAGAGAACCGGCAACAAGTAATAAAATACCAAAAACTAAAATATACAATAAATTTTAAATAGTTCATATTGAAGTAAAAGAAAAACAAAACAAACCTAAGAAAATAATAGCTGATACTTTTCTTTTTCTTGCCAGACTTTCAATTCGAGCATTTGGTGCATTATGTGGATTTGCAGACGTTGATGTGGCCATTATAATATGAATTGCATTCATTTTGATTATTGAAGTCTTGTTTATTTACATTCGAACAAATTTAAACGGCTTTTTATCATAAATTCATGCCAGTCTAGACAGTTCTTTTATGTTGATGCATCTAGTTTAGATCAAGCGATAAATTGTTATAGCACAATCTATCATATAATGGAACCGATTGGTTCAGTTTATTTAGCCAATGAAAAGCGGCATCTATTAGGTTATTGTTATTTGTTATTACAGTTTATCATTAACTTATTCAGTTCTAGTCAATGTCAGGCAGTGGTACGGAACGTTCAAATTTTCGTGGTAATCGTCCATTATCATCGAATCCACCACATTCAATATGTGTAACAGATCGAAAAGTTGTTTCATTTACACATTTATGGACAATTGATCATTTTCAATCATATTTAGGTTAATTTTTTCTTTTTTGCTTTTCTTCTGTCTTTTTTTTTTTGACGGATATTTATTTTTACAATAGATGATCCTCAATCACCTCGTGTTCTCTTTAGTTCTTATTTTTCTCCAAATTTCGGTCCACATACTGATACAAGGTTAGTTAATTATCGAATTTTTTTTTTTTTTTTATTATTTATGAATATATTTTATTATTTTTAGTTGGTGTTTAAAACTTTATCCAAAAGGTGTTAATGAAAAATCAGTTGAATATATAAGTTTATTTGTTAAATATGTTCGTGGTCGTACTGATTTACAAGCTAAAGCTGAATTTTCATTAATAAATAGTCGTGGGGAATTTCATATTGTACGTAAAACACCATATCATATATTTCCAACGGGTGGCGATTGGGGTTATTCTGAATATTTAATGCGTATGGTATTAACAACACAACGTAAATCAGAATTATTAAATGCTGATCAAAGTTTAAAAATATTTACACGTGTTATTATTGTTGGTGAATCATCATCATCAATAATACATGAAGAAAAAAAGAATACATATGAAAGTTTAATATCATTGTCAACACATTTTAATTCATTATTAACATCAACTAAAGATAATTGTCATGATGTTACAATTATTGTACGTCCACAACAATATAATAATTTAACGTATGAAAATAAATCTTCACATGATATTCCATCATCATCATCATCTTCATCACCGATTGACGGAGGAAAATTGTCCTCATCAAAGAGGAATAATAATAATAATTCTGGCGCTGGAAATCATCGAACAAAACGAAAACGATATAGTACAAACTCAGGTGGAAGTAGTGGTGCTGGAGAGTCATCAGGAGAAACTAGTCATGATGAAACAACTTCAACAGCATTAGTTCTTTTATCAACACCGACTACAACAACATTTTATGTGCATCGAAGTATATTAAGTGTAAGTTTAAATTTAACAGTCTGATCGTTTTCTGTTTAATGAATTTATTGCATATGAATTAAAGCTTGACTAATCAGAGAAGCTTTCCAAAATGTTACGTGTTGTATTCAATTGATTGTATACCAGTTGATAAAATTTAGACATCCGTCGAACTTGGGATCTGACTCAGTGTTGCGGTTCGAAAGCTATCCAATCAGTTCAAATAATATCGAGTATTTCTAAACATTGTTGATCTTTTTAAGGATGTCTTCATGATTGCAGTTTTTGAATCATTTACTCTATTGTATGTAGATCTATCATAGCTCAGCCGGAAGTTCTTTAGGTTGACGTATCTGTGCTTCATTTTATTAACTCAAAATGATCACATTCAGAATTGAACCTGAATATCCTGGATTCAGCGTATGCCTAAAAAGATTGATATGATTAATGGACGCTTCCAAGAATTTATCTCCATATCGTATATTTACAGAGTTATGACATGTCTATTTTAAAAAATTGAAGTAATTTCCACTAAAAACGAATTTGTCAGAAGAAATCTTCCTTAGCACAAGATTTAATTACGAACAAAATTCAATAAAGCTATCACAACTCGAGAAAAACAAAATACAAGAGATACCCTCTTGTAAACTTCTGCTAGGCTTATCAACTGATATTTAGTTGATTGAAAAGTGACATGTAACTTGAGAACTTTTTTCGGAAAATAATTTTATCATATTTTAATATATAAAACATCAAATGATCTTCAAAGTCAGTTGAAGATAACTGTATCGATGGAGTTTTTGTTATTCAAAAGTACTATTCATGGTTCCATAAATCTCTGTTTCAAAACTATCCTTTAGAAATTTCAGAGTGTTTCATTGTACAACAAAACGATTTGTGTACATCAAATAGTTCATTATTGGAAATTTTAGGTATCATATCACGAGTGAGATAAAAGTGCATTTAGGACACTTCATGTGCTAAATTTTTTTGGATTACAGGAATTTCGGCCTAGAGCAAACGTCATACAAGACTTCCGGGATGGGCTCAAATTTCTCTCATCAACTTCCTTAAAAATCCTGAATCTTATAAAAAGTTAGTATAGACCGTGGTACTTGGCGACATGCATTTTTAATAAAAGATTATGCTCAGCAAGATAGCGTTGTTGATCGAGTACAAGTACATATTCAAAAACTAGCTCACCTTTGATATTGTAGATTTCTAAGTAGTTTATTGAATAAACTGACAGCTGCAAGTGAAGTATTTCAACTACGAAATTCATTTTGTACTTTTGGTCTATTGACATGCAATGTCATTTCTCTATATGTGTAATATTGATAAATATTTTTTTATTAAAATGAATACTGTTAAGTACTACGTCATCCTGATGGCTAGTACGTTTTAATAAAAATGCATACCACTGAGCACTATGAAATGTACCAAGTATTCACAGAATTAAAACTGTTTATGAGGAATAATAAGAGGAATTTCGAACCAGACTGAAATTCTAATCCTTCAAGTTTTTTCTATTGAATTCTAATTCAAATTTTATTAGATAAAATACGAAACTCAGAAAAATCTTTCGCATGGTTTTCTGAATTGAAAAAAGTCCAATAAATTACTTTCTCTACATACTTTTCTTATATTTTACCAATCATAAATCAGTTTTCAGCATTCAACTGTATATTTTTTCCCTGTATTCTAGGTTCGTAGTCCGGTTTTCGCTGCTATGTTTTCACATTCAATGCTTGAAGATCAAAATTCAACAATTGAAATAACAGATTTACAACCTGAAACTGTTCGTGCTTTACTTGAATATATTTATACATCAAATGTTGAAGAAATTGATGAACATAATGCTGTAGAAATTTTTAAAGCAGCTGATAAATATGAATTAGAATTTTTAAAACAAAAAGCTGAATTAATAATGATGAATTCACTATCTGTATCAAATTGTACAATGCTTTATATAGTTGCCGATTTACATAATGCAAATGAATTAAAAAAACGTGTTTTAAATTTTATTATGCGTAATATACTTGAAGTAACTGAAAGTGATGATTGGCGTTTATTAGTTGAACAACATCCTGCATTGGCGACAGAAGCATTTGTTTATTCAGCTGAACATGCTGCTTCATGCGCTTGCTCTTCTTAACAAAAAAAAAAGAAGAATTTATTCATTTTTTTTCTCATCTTTCCTTTATTTCGTTTTTTGTTTTATCATATGTATATAAAGAAAACTGTTTGTGTATATGTACGTTTTAGATGTCAGTATCACATTCAAATCATAGCGGAACAAAAAATGGAAAAGATCAATTCAAGTATGACTATTATTTTTCTTACACTACTAGCAAGAGGTCTCCCTACTGGGTAAAAACTACATGAGCTTCATTCTGTGTGCCTAATATTTTGACTACCAATGGAGCTCGGTAAACCATGATTGCTAGACTTTAATGCTAAGAATTTACGATGAATCATTAAAAGCATAGCCCTCACTGCAAATAAAATTTGAAGAGATATGATTAAAAACTAGACGACGATGTCGGGCATTTTTCAATCATTCTCATAAACTCTCATGTGGAAATTATCCAAACAATACTTCATAAACCTGACAAACTGAAACAGTTTGTCATGGGAATTTTATTGGTAATAGAGATAGAACTGACGAAGGTAATTCTCCCAAGTGATGTATTGCTTTTAAGTTGAGACTGTATTTAGTATGATAGAGCCTAGTCAGTAGATAAATACTCTAGATTTGTTTGAGTTGTTGCTAAGATATCGAGCTTTCAGTAGATTTGTTCTGTAGAGTATCAGTTTCAAGCGAAATCATATTTTTTAATTCTGATACGAGACTTTGCCCACATAAGAATCCTGATCACAGTAGCTTGTAGAAAAAAAATGTCACAATTTTTCGACAAAATCTTTCCGAGATATGAATTTTTAAAATATAGTCGTTTTGACATGGTTATTGTAAAAAAAACACGGATATTGTGAAAAATTTATATCTTGAAGAGACTTTCTGAAAGAATTGTAAAATTGTTTTGGGCAAAGTCTCAAGTAAAACTTCAAAAATGTGATTTTACTCGAAATGTGGGACCCTGCAGGAAAAATCTACTAATAATTTAATATCCTGGCCACAAAGATCCAACAGCTCGAACCACTCTAGGATATTTACTTAGTGACTAGGCTCTATCGATTCAATATAGTCATAACTTAAAAATGATTAAATACTTGAAGGTCTTCCTTTGTGAGCCGTTACATGAGGGTTCTAACGCCATGAGATTTGTTTTCTATGTTAATCTTCTAGCTTTTCCTAATGAAAGTCGATGAAGTCTTGATGACTTCTTGCAATCAGAGTTCAGCATGCTCTATTTGTTATCGAACTATGAAACTAAAAGATAAAAGGTTAGATACTTTTTACCTGCTAACAAGACTTTTTGCAACCACTGTATATTACATGTTATTTATTATATTTATCTAGTTGGAATACGGTTAAATCGGATAAAGATCGTGAATGTTATTTGGGACACTCCATAATGGCACCAACTGGTCGTTGGCAAGAAGGTAAAGATTTAACATGGTAAAGTTATAAAAATAAATGAATTTTTAATAAAAGCAAAATTTTTTTTACTGATTAATGAAGGTATGCAAAAAATCGCGAAAATGAACAACAAATAAAATCAGCAGAATTTCGTGCAGCAAAGAAAATTGAAGAAGAAGCGCTTATGGCTGCATTAGGCATGAAAATTATGCCGCCGCCACCACCACCACCACCTCGTTTGTCTTCATTTTTCTAAGTTGTATTTTAAATTAATATGAATTTATTTTTATTTTAGCTGTTGCTACAACTTCAACTCAACAAAAATCGTCAACTAAACGTGAATCACAATCAACATTAATAAAAAATGAACCAATGACACCATCCATCCATAATGATTCACATGATTTAAAAGAACATCATAAAAGTCGAAAACCTGGTAATCAACGAAAAGAAGATCGAAGACGACGAAGACAATTAAAAGCAACTGGTTCTGATGAAGAAAAACATGATTGGTCAGAAAATGATGAAGATGATTTAATAGATGATATTGATGATGAAGAGGATGATAAAAGTTTGTTTTTCGTTGCTTTTTTCTTTTAAATCATATAATTAATTATCTATTTTAGAGAAACAATCAATTGAACAAAATATGATGACTGAAAAAGAATTAGATGATTTTCTTATTGATCTTGTTAAAAAACATGGTTTCAAAACAATAAAACGAACATTAAAATCAAAAAAGTAATTTTTATTCCAGAAAAAATACTTTCATTTGTTATTTTTTTAATCTTATATAGAGAAAAAAAAGAACATAAACGTCAACATTCATCATCATCATCATCATCAGCTTCGGATTCCGAATCAGAATCAAAACATAAACATAAGAAAAGACACGGTCATAAAGAAAAATCGGAATCAAAAAAACATCATAGGACTCGATCATCATCAGAAAAAGACCATTCAAAACATAATCGAAAATAACAAAATCTTTATTTTTCTTGTATAATTTCATTTTGTTTTTTTTTCCATTTATTAAAAGTTTTAAACAATAAAGATCATATTTAAAAATATCTTTATTGTAGATATGTTTAATCGGTTGTGTTCAATTGTATCTTATTCTGGTCGTATTCAACGATCACTTGCCGTATGTCAAACATTACGTTTACATTCGACAAAAACTTCAACTGATAAAGATTCAAAAAAATCATCAATAAAAAGTAAAACACCTGTGGGTAAATTAGATGAATATTCACATCCAGATGCCGAAAAACAGCCATTAAAACCATGGCCAAATAATACAAATCCAATAACCGGTGAAATCAATGGACCACGTGGACCTGAACCAACACGGTATGGTGATTGGGAACGAAAAGGCAAATGTGTTGACTTTTAATAGATGTTTATTTTATTTAGTTCACATGTTTTTTTTTTAAATTCTTTATTAATAAATAGATAAACAGACTATTCAGTATGAAAATAAAAAAGTAAAACAATCATTCGATCGCTTCTTCTACTAATGAAATCACATGCATATGTGAATCAATGGCTAACAATGAAAAGAAAATTAGCTATTCCTTTACCTTTAAATTCCGGATATTTATTAAAATTGTGGACACCATCAAAGTTTCAAAACAGATCGAGTTCAAAATGAATTGATACGAACACTTATTCTAGACTGTGTTTTTTCTTTTTAATTGTAATATCGTCTTGTTTGTGGACATGGACACTCACGCAAAGAAACCAGTATTTTATACAGACTTCCTCTTCTTTCGAAAGAGCAATCTAGAACTTTGGGAGGGCCAACTCAATTTTCCGAAGAGTACAACCCTTTCAGTCCTCACACTGGATGAAACGCTGAAGATAACAATGGGTGTTCGTTTTCACAAAACAGGTTATATACCAGTTGAAAACAAAAAACACAATCTGCAATACGCGTTGTATGATCTTCGTTTTGGATTCAATATTTTTTGTAACTTAGGCGGTGTCTATATATATATTCGCAGTTTTTATAGATGTCCTTAAACTTCAAAATATTGTGCAGTTCTTGACAAAAATTAAACACTAAATCAGTTAAACTTGTTTTCAATGAGTGAAATACAATTGTTAATATGAATTTCATTTCATAAAGGAAAAGTTTATCAATCTCATAACATGAATTATGGCAGATACAATAATGACTGTCACCATTTATGATGCACAGCAAGAAATTCATTCTACATGACAAATCATATTAAATATTTACAAGAACTTTTTTCTACCATAACATATCGTACTAAATATCAATAGTAGTCCTCTCAATTTTATATTATAACAAAGGAGTAATAGAACGTAAAAACAAAAAGTGATATTATAAAAAAATTCGTCAATAATAAAATCAATTTCGCCATATTTCATATTCAACAGATATAATATTAAAAGCTTTTCTTTTGATATATTGTTGGTTGTTGAAAAGTAGTTAATAAATGATATGATTAAATGAAGTTAATTAATAACAACAGATGTTCTTTTATTAAAATCATACTAAGAAGCAATGCTCAAGACCTCAGTAAGACATCATCATCAATGTTTATGATATAAGATATAGGCAATTATTTCTCTCTTGTTTTCTTTTCATTTTTTAGAACGTAAAAAGAAAACACGAGAAAAATAATTCCGTATATTTTATATCATAAACACTGATGATGATGGTATCTTATTCGCGTCGAAAGCTTTGCTTCAATAAAAAAGAATGCCTATTGTTATTAATTCACTTCATATAATCATAGATTTTCTTTTCGTATTCTAAAACTTGTATTAGTACTATTCCCTTATAACTAAAATTATATCTAAATAAATTTTTACGATTGCTAGAATCTCTCTAAACATAAGAAATTTTAACTTGAATTAATTATAAAACTGAATTTTATATTTAGATAAAGTTTATTGATGAATCTATTAATAACAGATAAAATCTAGATATGATTCCAAATGAAAGGGAGAGAAAAAAAATAATAAGTTCTATTGAGTTTATTTAACGTGTGTTTTCAAGTGTTGAATTAACCGAACCAGCAACTGAGCATGTTGAACTTGTTGGTGATGTTGATGTAGGTAATTTAGGATCATCTTTAGTAGTAACATTTTTCAATGAACTATTACTATGATCACCACAATCAAGTGCACTAGCTTTTCCATTGCTAATAGCAGCAGTATTTTCGTGATACGGAGCGGTAATAACAAGTCGTTTACCATCATGAAGAAACGAGCGCATATGTTCAACATCAATATTCTAAAAATAATCAAACACAAAAACAATAATGTCATTTCATTATCAGAAGTGAGATCAATGATTTCAGAGGTTCCGACTTTTCTAATTCCGGTCTAAAACGATCATCATCAGAGAAAGTCGGCCATCGGATCCCATCACTGAGTTCCTATCATTTTCTGGCTCTTGAGAATATTAACTTACTGGTGGTAATGTAACAGCCTTGTAAATATACGAACGAGCTGTATGCTGTTTATCCGATGCACTTGATTCACCCTAGAATTAATTAAAAGACAAGTTTACAAAAAAAAAAAATAGTCAAACTGTTTATTTACTTGAACAATTAAATCACGATCTTTAAGATGAATTTGAA